CCATGCCCTAAAGAAAAAAAATCCCAACCCTCTCCTGCAGACTGCCTTTCACCAAACACGGTTATTAAATACTTTCATTAATATTTTCATTTTAAACCTTCTTTTGAGTACATCCCAGCTAAGTAGTGGCTGTTTTGCAGGTTGGCCTGGCTGTGGTGAATGGACAGCTGATGGCAGTGGGGGGCTTTGATGGCACAACGTACCTGAAGACCATTGAGGTGTTTGATCCAGATGCCAACACGTGGAGGTAACTTGAGTTTGTGTGACAATCAGACAGTGAAATCCAGCTGGAGCTGTCCCAGGAAAATTAGGAATGTGGTACACACCATAACAGAGAACTTGTGTGGGGTAGAGCCATCACAGCATTCCCATTCTGGATTCTTGCCTTGCAAGAAAGAACCACATTTTGAAAAATATCTCACCATGCCCCTTCTGTTCATTTTGGGCTGAGTCTCTCCTGCATCCCAGTAAAACTGAGCTTGTCCTTAGCAGAAGGAATTCACAGCCACCATGTAGAATTTGGCCTGATCACTTCTTGCTTTCAGTGTGAGGCAGTGATTTCTGAATCCTTCTGGAGGAGCTGAAACACTTCAAGCACATGATGTTATTCCCCTTTAAATCAGCAGGATTCAGCCACTGGAAGAATCTCCAAGCTGAGACAAATAATATGAAGTTGTTGATCAAAATATATGCTGAGCAGAAAAGAAAGAGGAAAAATAGCCTTTCTAGTCATAACTATACTTGAAAACAATTGCTTGTGTATTTATTCCCAAATGTAATTAGCATGAAGTATCAAGCACCTGTGGCTATTTTTGCTGCTGTGGTGATCTGGCAAGGGTGGGGAATAGAAATAAATCAATGTCCTTATTCTTACTAGTGATTATAGTAATTTAACCCTTCACTGATAAGAATGGCTGTCATAGCAGCAATGGAGGAATTTCCCTTGGTTTGGTGAGCCATGGGCCCACAGGACCTTTTGAACTGCTGAGGAAACCAGTTGAGGAGAGAGTGGTACATACATCAGATTCCTTGGTGGAATGGTTTCAGCTGCTCCCTGTGAGTCCAGAGTTAGGAGTGACTGCCTGGAAGGCATTCACACAGCTTGGGAGATTATTCAAGGTATTATTAGCTTGAAAAAACTATCAGTTTTTTCCTCCACTGAACTCAATATAGGTGACCAGCTTCCGTGGTCACCCCTTTCTTTTGTATCTTGAAGATATTTTTTATTTGTGCAGCTTGACTGAGAAACAATTCTGCTACAATTTGGCTTTAACAAAGCTGTTTGGAGAACTTGCTTCTCCTGTTCCTGCCAGCAGACTCCAGTGGCATAGAGGGGAACAGGCAGCTGCAATCTGTAGGGATCTGGTATCCCTGTGAAATGCAGACACCATTGCAGTCAGCAGATGGTGCTTGGGATGTGTTATATCTCAGTTGGCTCAGCTGAATGTAGGGGTTTAGACATACAAATTAAATTAGTTGAATTAGGAGGACTAAGCCTAGTCCTGTGACACCCAAAACCTAGCTTAAGGTCAGCTACAGTTTACAAATTTCTTTTTCTTACCAGACAGGGAGCAGGAAGTATTTATTTAACAGAAATTTGGTGTTAAATCAAGCAGCAGTTTCTGTTCTGAGAGGAAGGCACGAGCAGATACAGCTGTTTACTTATGAAGTGTGTGAGATGGGTGCTCCACAAGCTCTTCTTCACTTTAAGCAGACATTAAAGATGGTTCAGCGTTTGCCATGGCAGCTCCCAGAGGTTGGTGTCCCCATGGAGCAGGATGTGTGACTCTGGAATGTTGTCTCTGCAGGTTGTACGGCGGGATGAACTACCGGCGGCTGGGCGGAGGCGTGGGAGTTATCAAAATGACACACTGTGAATCTCATATATGGTAAGCTTCCAGAGGGAGGGAGTCCCCTGCCTTCTCATTCCTAGAAAAAACAAACTGAAGAGACTTGTTGACACTGGACCTCTTTGCAGCTCTAGTATGCACGGTCTAGCTCCAATGTAACTCTTTGTCGGTGAACTCTTTCTATGGAATTACAAAAACTGACTTCTGTGAGAGTGTGCCCCGCGGGAGACCACGTTGTCAGACTCCAGGGAACCACTGGACAAAAGTAGAAGTGTTGCTTATGTCCGTATTTTTTCTAAATAGTTCTACATTTTTGGAATAAACCAAACTGTAACAGTTGTTGTAGCCTAAAAGGATGCTGATGTAGAGCCTATACACTTTGTACTGGGAGTCTGGCCAGGAGGAGGGATTCCTGCTGTCCCTCCTGCTGTGGGAGCAGTGGATGTGGCAGCTGTTTGGTGGGCGAAAGAGGAAAAAAAGTGATACAGAAAACATTGCTTTTGCCTTATTTACAGAGAGCTTCAAAAAAAAAAAATTACTTGACCTGCAAGGTGCCACCTTTGCACAGAAGCTTTTCTGTGCACAGAGTATATTTATTTTTTCATTTGATTTGTATCATGTATTTCCTTTGTATTGCTCACAGCGATGATTTCAGCTTTTTATATACATCTGTCTGTGCATATATATATGTATTTTATATATATATATGTATATGTGTGACTTGCATTTCGACCAGCTGGTGGTTTGGGCAGGGCTGTGTCCTGCCAGCTGCTGTGGTTCCAACCCTTGTGGTATGATTTGGGGTCTCTTAGAGGACAGGAGAGCTGTGAGGATGGCTGCCCTGAGTATCTTTTCAGAACTGGAACTCTCATCGCTCAGCTGAATCGGTGAAGTGCCCAAAAAGGGTGAGAGGAAAAGGATTTCAAGCACTGCCTTTTTACTGTACAAAAATTCAGCTTTTCTCTCCTCTCCTCTCCCCTGTGTGTGAACCTGTGCTGGTTTGAAGGTGAACCAGCAGGGGAGGAATTAACCCCACAGAAAGACCTTGTGAGAGATTTCAAGTCAGAGTTGCAATTCAATAGAGAGATGACGATAAATGCAATGAATACACAAAGAGTGGCTTAAAACCAGTCCTGATTAAGCAGTGGTTGCAGTCCTGTTAGAGTGATGGATGAGGTCTTGTTAAAAGCACTGGTCCTGTGGAAAGGCCTGGTCCTTCTTTGGATGTCCAGTGGTGGTTGTTGTGTCCAGGTCCCCAAACCCCTAGATCATGGACCCTCAAATCCAGGCAGGAATGTTGAATCCCTCCCCCAGAGCGAGGGATTTCCCAGTGAAATGATGGAATCCTGAGTCATAGGATGTTTGGGGAGTCCCTGATAGGGCTCTGCCCACTGGCAGACATGACCCCCCCTTAGGCTGGGTGCAGCTGTCACTTTGTGAGGACAGAACATTGCACCCAGCTCCCAGCTGTTACCAAGGACCCACCACTCCCAGGAATAATGTCAAATAATGCAGCTGGGTGTGGAATACAGTTTGGCTACACCCACACTGGTACTTTATCCTGCAACCACTGACAGAACTTAAATCTAGCTCACTTTTAAAAGCCTTTTTCCTCCTGTTGCCTGTTTGATATCAGTTCTTGTCTGAAGCAGGGTGCAGGTATCATCTGTTCATTCTGATACCCACTTCTTGTGTTCTTGCTGGAAGGGCAGACCCACAGCCAGCTCCTTCCTGCTGGGGAAAAAAAACCTCAGACCAGCCTCAGCTCAGCTGCCCTCTTGTCTGTGTCTGTAGAATTCCTGACCCTGATGGATGGATCCCTCTCTTTGAGTGGTTTTTGTGCACTTTGCCTGTGTGTGGTTAGAGCAGGGAAAGGTGTGAGGCTCATTTTTAAGAGTTTGGAGGGGAAGGGCTGTTTTCTGGCACTGTGAATAACTGTGGGGTCACCCAGGAGTGGGGAGAGAGCAGGGAAGAACTCAAGACTCAACAGTTCTGTTTTTACTGTAATTTCTATTGAGTATGGAAGAATGACCTTTTGCACCTGATCTAACTGTGGACCTTTACTAAATTTCATTTTGAAAAAGAGGACTGTAAATTCTTGAGATGAAAAAGGCAGTGCTGACACCTTAAGTTCTTTAACTTCATCGTTTGATTCATGTGACTCAGACTTTAATGTGCTTGAATATAGTAAAAAATACACTACAGTCATAAATGGGACATTAAAACTTTTATAAAAACCCCTTCCCCCCTAAAGGTCGGTATTATTGTGTTTACATATGGAGATCATTTGCACCTTTACAAGGAAAACAAGTATTCTGTAAACAAATGTTTACATGTATCATTTATGCTTTTTTCTAGCATGAGTAACTTGTATAAATAGTGCTATCTTAATAAATTTCTTCTACGCTGTTCTTGGTTTGTTCCTTGGGGTGAAGGAAAGCAGTGGGAGGTGTTTTTCTGTGGTTTATATGGACAGAGATGCTGGAGGAGGTTTTTTCCCTAGATAAATTCCAGTAAAACAGGCTTAAAACTCTGCTGTTTCTTGTTACCCTTCACATCACTCTGAGCCAGCTTTTTGTGGAAGGAAGTATCTGTGCTATCTGCTAAATCTCATCTCTGCTCATTTAACGATGAGGATAACAAAAGGAAGGGGTTAAAAGAGGCTATAAGAATTTAGGTTTTTAGAGATTATTTATGCAAATTTGTTGGAAAGAGCTGAGCATTAGATTTAAAACTTAGCCCTGGGTGTAACAGTCCTATTTTCAAACCAAATCCAGGTGCCAGTTATTTCCAGACCTTCTACTCCTTTGTCTAGTGCTCTTCTGACTCCAGAGAGCAAACTTTGTCTGAGATATTTCTAATAAGAAAACTAAAGCACCAGAAGTGATAGTTTAAGTAGCTATTGAGCTGTCAGGACCTTCAGAAGATCACTTAGCTGCTTTTACCAGGGTAAGAATTACAGACTTATCATGCAAAAAAAATCCATCTTCAACTAGTAAAGAATCTGAAACCAAGTGCATGTTTCTTTGTTTTATTCTGGAAACAGGTTGGGAACTAGGCATGCAGTTATGTCATGTGTTAGGCAGTTTTACACTGGGAAGAGAAAGGAAACTTGCACCCCTATTTAGGAGAAGGTCATGGTACAAATCAGCTCCCAGAAGCATTTAATAAGTAACAAAGGGTGGTTTGGTCAGGTAAGCTGTAATTGGAAATAAGCTCCATGCAAGGATATATTTAATTAGACAGTGGTGGTCTTTCCTTGAGAAAAAAGATGGAGAAGATTTTCTTTATTTAGTACTGTATTACAAAAATCTCTCAGCAGGTGCTACTTTCTGTTCCTTAAATGTCCCTCTGACCTCTTACCTGCTTCAGAAGGGGGGGATCCAACATCAAATTCTAGCACACAGCTCCAACCCTGAGTGCTCTCTGGCCTACAGGATTATATCCAAGGTTACAAACATCAGGACAAAGCCCAGTAACTATCAAGTTTATCCACACTTTCCTATCCTCACTTTCCTATCTATCAATGTGCCGGGGAGGACCAGCAGGCTGACAAGTGCCTCATGTCCAATTTCATGCCCAACTGGAACATAAATGAACACTATCACCATTACCAAGTACCCTTAACAAGCTAAAAACGGAGTTAGAAACCTGGATTTTTCTGCCCTGGATTGTACAGCATGCACCCTTTCTCAGGTGTGCTGAACTTTCCATTTAGGGTAGCCCAAGAGTAGTCACAGTTTAGGCAAGGTCTGCATAGCTTAGGCTGTCCAGTGAAAACCAACTTGGAAACAACAGAAATACCTGCCAGGGAGTTGCACCAAGAACTTGCACTGTTTGTCTCTGGGCTGATACCTGCTCATAAATGAAATCAGTGACGGTGAGAAAACAAAGCTGCTCAGGAAGCTGCCACAAGTTTGCACTGCAGCCCTTCTTCAGGGCCAAATGTCTGCTTGACTTTGCTGTGCATGGAATTACACAGCCAAGTACTGGAGTTACAGTCTGTCCAAAGTCAGCCAGAATGAGAGGAAAGAAGATGCTGCAGGAGTGAGGCTGGGGGTTTCTCAGCACAGACTGTCCAAACAGAAAGCCTTTTGAGTATGAAGAGCTACTGAAATGGCTCTCACTGTATCTGAGAGATTGCAAGTTCAGTCAGTAGCATCAGCACTCCAGGCAGGTACTGGCTGTGTAGAATCTGCAAAAAAAAAAAAAGAGAAAAAAGCCTGTCAAAGCAACAATTGCATTTGCCAGATTTCCACACTCTGAAGCCCTGCTTGGAAGGAAACTACCAAGTGTTCTGTGTGTTTATTCAGCTGCTCTGTTGTTGCTTTACTTCTCCCATACTGCATATGACTTGAATCCTATCCCATTATGAAAAGCCATATCTGAATTTACACAGCACACATTCCACAGGAGCACCCTTCAGAAAGCCTGAGATATCTCTGTGTACTTAACTGCAACAGGAAAAGTTGTTTCAGGCAGTTTTAAGCTATTACAGATAAAAGCAAGCAATGTGCTCCTCATCATAGGGTAAATTTAAACAACTGCATTTGCACAATGTGTCAAGTGCCATCATAGGTTAATTTTAAACAACTGCATTTACACAAACTGTTCTTTAACCCAGAAGAAAATACTGTATTGCTTGAAGAATTAATATTCTGTGGTTTGAAGGATATTGGAGATAACCTCTGTAGAAAGACCAGCACCTTTATGAAAAGGTTTACATGTGAAGGAGGTTTCTGCCTATGTCTTAATAACTACAATACTAGAAAGCTAGGAACTTTTTGTGAAGTTTGGGATCTTTTTAAGTCCAAAATGACTTTTTTATGGCCTAAGAAACTTTCCTGTTCATACCACAGCTAATACACCTATTTCTGCCCCAGGCACATAGCTTCTGCTGCAACACAGTAATATAACACTGTGCTGGCAGCTGCCCCCCCTCTAAAGCTAAGTATGACTAGTAAAAGCTGAGGGTGTAACGATTCCTTGTAGGAAATCATGCAAAAGAACCATGAGACTTTCAGGTACAGCTGTTTAATTTGGCCAGCATTAGAACAACCTGCTACTAAGGGCCTCACCTTTACAATCCCATCACAGTGTGCCGAGGCAACGGCTGTGGAAATCTTCACCAGCTTCGCAGCTGACAAGTGGATCTTGAAGTGCCTGTGGAAGTGAGCATAGAGGCAGTCCATGAAGACATCCACCTCCTCGTGGGTGATCTCTCCTGGCGTTTTTTGCACCGTGTCCCACAGAGCTTTGGCGTCCTCCGGGTGGATGGCGTAGGAAATATCCAGCGGCTGCGCCAGGCGGGGCACGGAGAAGACGAGTTCCACGGCAGAGGCAGCTCTGTCCAGCTTGCAGCCAGCCCACATGGCCACCATCCAGCTGAGGTTCAGGGGGCTGATGGCCAGGCGGCGGAAGCAGCAGTCGAAAGTCTTCTGGAACCAGCTGCCCACCAGGGCCGTGTAGCTCTCGGCGCCGTGGCTCAGGAACAGGGGCAGGCAGGTGAAGTGCTCGGGCACGCTCTCGGAAAGCTCGTCTCCAAACACGGAGCAGAACCAGCCCAACCACACGGGTTTGTCCTCAGAGTTCCTGGAGGAGCTTCGTGACCTCGAGGAGAGCTGCGATGGGGAGAAGAAGCATTGCAATGCTGCAAAGCAAGTATGGCTTTTTTTTTTTTTCATCAGCTAAAAACAGATACTGATTTAAAGTTTTAGGACTTTTTTACAAGTGGTTTTTTTTGCCTTGTGTCAAACACGTACAATTATTCAGTCTATCCATGACATCTCTAAAAGCTGAATGCAATTATGTTGAAAACAGCAGAAAAAGCACTTTTAAATTCCTTAGGAACAGTCCTGAGATCTGAGTTTCTGCTGCTTAACTCCCATGGTACATCCTACAACCGTTGCCGCAATGAACCTGACATTTCAGTAGCACATTCCACTTGAAGCAAAGCATTTCAGAAATATTAAGTTCGGCTAGGAAGTGGGATTATGCTTTATCCAGGAAGAAAAATAACCCATCCAAGTCCTGGCAGTAAATTGACTGCTGAGCTAAAACATCAGACAGAGATTGCTATGTATAGTTGTACTGTATAATATAGATAGATATTTCTGCTGTTTAACTATATAGATGCTGTTAAAAAGTTGAACTCAAACTTGCTCTTTATTGTATGCATTGCTTAGGGGAGATCACAGAATCAATTAGGCTGAAAAAGACCTCTGAGGCCATCAAGTCCAGCCTGTGACCAAGCTCAACCTTGTCATTAGATCAGGCTTTTGACTGTGTCACATCCAGTCTTAACTTAAACACCTCTAGGGACGGTGATGCCACCACCTCCCAGGGCAGCCAATTCCGATGTCTAATCATCCTTTCTGTAAAGAAATTCTTCCTAATGTCCAACCTAAACCTGCCCTGGCACAGCTTAAGCCTATAAGTGTTCAGTTTCACTTAAAAATAGACACGATTCAGTTTCATTAAACCACAGTGGATGCCTCACTAGCTATTCCACACAGCTAAGGTTCAACTCCGGGGCTTCCTTTCAAGACAGAACGTTCCATCACAACAAAACCAGCGCCCTCACCTGCACGAGGAGGGCAGCCTGGTCCAGCTCGCTGCCCCTGATGTCGGCAAGGCTGGACAGGGCCACCTTGACGTCCAGCTCGACGCCCACCTCCACCGCCAGCCCCTTCTGCTTCTCGGCGGCGATGAAGGCGCCCAGCAGCCGCGCGTAGTCCCTGAGGCGGGCGCGGCGGAAGCCGTACAGAGGGGTCACGCTGTACAGCGTCCAGGCTTTCCGCAGCAGGAGCGCTGTTTTCTGCGGGTCCGCCTTTTCCTAGCGGGGAAACAAAACAAAAGGAATAAGGTTCAAGTTTGACTTTCCCGGGCGGCGCAGCGCGGCTCAGGGGACACGGAGGGAACACGAAGGTGCCACCACCCGTGCCTCCCCGTACCTGAGAGCACAGCGCTGGCACAATGAGGCGGCCATGGCTCCGTCCGAAGGGCAGAGCCCGGGAGAGCCGCCTGAGGCTGGGCAGGGTCCGCGCCGCGCCGTCCTCGGGCGCGTCCTCGGGCGCTTCCTCCGCCATGACGCCCGCCGCGGCGCCCGCGCTCCTCGGCCCACCCGCGCCGCCGGCGCGCCACGACCCGCCCGCCTCCGCCGTTCGAACTTCTTCCCGTCAGCCCCAGCGCGGGGGGCGCGCCCCTCCGCCATCTTTGGGGCGGGCGGCGCTGAGGGAAGGAGGTGGCTGCGGTTTCCCTTTTTTCCCCTCCGGAGCTCACGTTTTTCGCTTCGCGCAGGTCCGCGGCGCTCCTCCCCGTGTTTCAGGCTGGGGGGCGGCTGGGGATGGCGCTGCCCCGGCTGCTGGTGCGAGCGCTGCACCGGGCGGCCGCTGCCGCCGCACCTGCGGCTCCAGGTGAGGAGGAGCGCTGGTCCCGTCCCCTCGAGGTTTGGGGCCTTTTTCTCCCGGGGTACAGGTCAGGATAGTCCCCAGAATCGATTAATATCACAAGTTATTTTCCCTGTATCAGTTTACTAAGTGTCTTGTAAATCTCTTTTAATTCTAAAGGCGCTCATGAAGAATTATTTATATAAGACCAGGTATTGGTATCCTTCAGGCTTCTCCTTGCAAACCGAGCCTCTTGCACATTGTGTAAGTGGTGGTGAATGGATCTGTGAGTTAGGCCATAATTACAGGCACACGGGGGTCTGTGCAAACCTTTCTGTAACCATTGTTGAGGCCTTCTTCCAGTTGTTTCAGGCAGGAGCTATTAAATTTACACCTCCATGGTGAGTGTCCTCCGTGTGTGTTGAATTCTTGGTTTGTTAAGCCCGGTTGTGCTGTGTCGCTGCTAGGAACTGCAGCGGCAGGACAAGGGGGAATGGCTTTGAGCTGAAGGAGGGCAGGTTTGGGTTGGATATTGGAAGAAATTCTTCCCTGTGAGGGTGGTGAGGTCCTGGTCTTGCTGAGAGGAACTGCCACATCCCTGGAAATATCCAAGGCCAGGCTGGATGGGGCTCTGAACAACCTGGGATAGTGGAAAGTGTCCCTGCCCATGGCAGGGGGGTAGAATAAGATGAGCTTTAAGGTCCTGGAAACCCAAACTATTCTATGATTCTTGATTTAAATGTGGAATTGTCAGCACCCCTTAGGATTGACCTGTGACTTTCGCTTCTCTTGCTCCTAAAATGTGCAGGGAAACAGTTTGCAGCAAGGCTATGTTCAAGTATCTTTATGAACTGAGAAACAGAAAAAATCCCTGTTTAAGTTACATTTAGATTAGCTTAATTTCGTGTTTATGACATAAACATAGTCCGGATCTAGATTAGAAGTAACTTCTCCATATATGTACAAATTCTACTGGGAGGGAAAACTCCATTTATTCTGTTTCGTCTACAAAAGCTATGAGAGATTATGTATATATATAAAATATATATTTTTTATTTTATTTTTTTAAATTTATTTAAGACTTCAACAGTTTTGTCACTCGGACCAACACATGTGGAGAGCTGCGTGCTGCTCACGTGGGACAGAAGGTGACTCTGTATGGATGGGTTCAATATCAAAGGTAAGTGCAAACCATGGTGAAAATGGAGATGATTATTTGTCACATCCACTCTAAGCTGTGTTTCATGCACCATTGCTCTCCAGTGATGGGTTAAAAAGTTTTTTGGTTTTAGGGGGTCCTGAGTGTCTCATCTTTAAGCAGTTGTAGATGGAGACCCAGGAAAAGGAGTTAGGATTATTGCAATGTGGTCATGGTGCTCTTGTTTTTAAAGACAGCAGACCATGTCCCATTGGGCAGTTTTTTGATGGATAAAGCACAGTGGCAGCTGTCCCTGCTGCAGCTTGAACAAATCAAGGTTTATGGTTCTGGGGCTGGCAGTGTGGCTTATTCACGTGGAACTTTTTATGGGACGAGTGGTTCCCCTTCTTGACTGATGATTGGATTTTGTTGTTGTTGTTTTTATTCCACATGAACTTTAGGTTTTTTTGCTCATTTGTTTTTAGCTGAATGATGTTTTCCAGCAGGAAAATTCACATGTCCAGAACCCCAGCTCTGTATGCATGAAAGCTCAAGTTAAAATTCTGCTTCTCCTGGTTATTTGTATGTTGTGTGAGGCTGATCACAAGGTGAAATGAATTGTTCAGGTGTGGGAAAAGTGTCCATCATTCAGTACTCGTGAGTGCTTTGGGATGAGTTGCAGGGTACTGAAAGTGTAGCCGGTTGCCATATGCTTTTAAAAGTAGAAACTACTAAATCTGTGAATAAAATGTTCTTCCTTTTGTGCTTTTCATGGATCAGACAAGGCCTGTTTCTGGTTTTGAGGGATTTCCAGGGACTCACCCAGGTCATCATTCCTCAGGATGAGGTAAGTGCTACCAAAACATGAATCTGTGTTTTTATTTTTCCTTTGGTAGCTTGGCTTCAGCAGCCACTTTGCCAAACTGAGTGCTCTGACTCACAAATAGATTGCAGTGTCGTGAGAGCCCTGACCTGACCCTGCAACAGAAGCATCAATGCTGTTCCCCCTGCCTTAAGAGTGATTTTGGGTTTAATTGCTTGGCCTCAGTGCCTTTGTGCTGTTCTTTGAGTTCCTCTGAGGTTGTATCCTCTCCCTGCAGGCACATTCCCATGTGAAGGAGCTGCTGTCCAATGCCCCACTGGAGTCTGTGGTCAGAGTTACTGGGACAGTGTCCCCTCGGCCCCAGGGGCAGGAGAATCCGGTGAGGATGGGGTGAGGGAGACTCCCAGAGTTTTTATTCCTTGAAGGAAACACCCCTGGATGGTGGGATTATGGTGGGCGTTGTGTCAGAGCATTGTCGCAGATTCTGCTTGTGTGACAGCCCATCCTCAGATAGCACTGATGTCACCTCACACTATGTCGGATAACAGGAGAATCTCAGAGCACATTACAGGCACACACAAATTAAACTGGATCCCAGCCCTTTGCAAGGATAAAGCTGGCTTTTCCAGGCTTTCATAGTGTGGTGGGAATTGCTTTTGCTTGAAAATAAATATTGTCACGTCGAGTTCCACCTGTTTATTGATTCTGCTGGTCTCCCAGCAGAATAGGAATATTCTGCTGTAGGAAAATCCTCTATATAGGGAACAGAGGTTGAATAATTTTTTAATGTTCTGCATTCCTCAGCTGTCATTGTAATCAGCTATAGACTGATCTTTCAGGACTGTGCATATAACTGGCAGGTCTAAAAAGAGGATTGTATTTATGATCATAGCTCCTTATTGCTCTATCTTTTAGATTTCCACTTAAAATCCAGGCTTCAAGCAATGCCTTTATTTCTTTTATTAATTTCTTTGTTTTGGGAAGGTTGTGTGTCCTTTCCCTTGGTAAATAGTGGGAATCCTGCAGGATCAAGTGAACTTTGCTGTGCCTCAGTGCTACGTGAGGGGAGCTGCCTGTCCTCCCTCGGGATGGAGTCAAAAGAATACCAGTTCTGAGAACTGATGTTTAGAACTGGAAGTTCTGAGAAGTTCCTCTAATTTGCCTTTTTTTGACTCATATTAAGGGCTGCTTTTGCTCATGTTCCCTGAAACCTACACTATGTGGTTTTGCTGTTTATTGACCGGTATGCTAGTGGGAAAGAAACTGCTTTGGTGAGGTGGCTTGTGTTTCTCTGAACAGAAGGGAAACCTGGAAGAAATCTGTCCTTGGGAGAAACTCTCTGATTTATACACGATGTTAGAAGGCAGGGAGGGTAATCACATTGTTTCTTTTTTTCCCTTTGAGCATCTGTGAAATACCTTTGTCCAACTGTTTTGAGTTTTAATTTTTTTGCCTTTTTGTTCTAGAAAATGCCAACAGGGGATATTGAAGTGAAGGCAGAGACTGCAGAGATCCTAAATTCCTGCAAGAAGCTGCCTTTTGAAATCAAGGATTTTATCAAGGTGTGTTTTTCTTATCAAAGTGGTGGCTTTTCACTAAATTGGGAATTTGCCCAGGGTGATAGTAAAACATCTGAGAGCTGTGTCTGGTTCTCCCCACTTCACTTGGGAGGAATGATGGTATTTAAAACAGAGGTGGTGTTTGTTTGCTGGGAGGATTTATTTCCAATTAGAGCTAAGCAGAAAACAGGGCTTGAATGATTCCATATTTCTGGAAGCACTGATGGCAAAGGAAAGAGTGAAGGAAATGGGGTGTCTTGGTTTGGAAAGATAGGAATCTGCTAAGGAAGGCAGGAGCCTCCCCTGAAATGGAGAATATAAACCCTCCCCACCCCTCTGAATTGCTGTAAATTTTTAATTAAGGGGCTCTCAGGCAAAAATATGAGAGCAGGAAATAACAGTTCTTTAATAGGGAAGAAAAAATAAAGGATAAAATAAACAATGCAGTACACTAGGACAACACTGACAGAGTCAGAACCCAACCTGACACCCTGTGGGTCAGGGTGTTGGTGGCAGTCCCATTGGAATTGTGGCTGCAGCCCTCCTGCAGTGTCAAGGGTGGTTCTGCTGGAGCAAGGGGGATCTGCAGAGAAGGATGGATTCTTCCTCTGAAGATCCAGTGGAAGGAGAGGCAGCTGCTGTTCCTCTGGGAAATCCAGTGGGGAAAGCCATGCTGCTGTCTCAAAAACCTCTGGATTATATCTGGGCAGGAATGTTTGAAACCTCAGATTGTATCCAGGCAGGAATGTTTGAAACCTCAGATTGTATCCAGGTAGGAATGCTTGGCTCCTCCCTCTGGGCTCACATCTCCCAATGGGATGCTGTAGTTCTTATCAGCCATGCAGGGACATTCAATAGCTGTTATCAGCAATGTCCCCTCCCGAGGGAGGTGTGGATGTGGTCACTCAAAGAGAGAGGTAAAGCAAACTGCTCACTTGACAAAGACAAATGTTTTCAATTACCATACAGATGGTAACTGAAAACATCTTGCATTGCCATCTTCAACGTAGGGCTATGCTGGGTTTTTGAGTTTGAAATGAGGCTGTTTTATTTGATTTGTGGAACACCAGAATGGTTTGGGTTTGAAGGAACCTTACAGATCATCCTTTTCCAAACCCCCTGCCATGGGTAGGGTTCCTCAGAGCTTCATCCAGCCTGGCCTTGAACACTTCCAGGGATGGGGCAGCCCCAGCTTCTGTGGGCACTTTGGGTTTTTTTCCGAGCAATTGCCATATTTGTGTAGGTTGTGCGTAACGGGCGCATTGCGGCAACGGAGCATCACCGGTTTATTTATCTTCTCCTTTTTCTCTGTGGCTTTAGGATCCCTTCACCGGCCATGCAATTTGAATTTTGTCCTTAACCCTGCCCCTCTCTCGTCCCCAGAAGTCGGAGGCGCTGCGGATGCAGTATCGGTACCTGGACCTGCGCAGCTCCCGGCTGCAGTGGGCGCTGCGGCTGCGCTCCCGCGTGGTGATGAGGATGCGCGAGTACCTCTGCAACCTGCACGGTGAGGGAGCTGCTTGGAGCAGCAAACATTCCTGCCACTGCCATGTCTTCTGAAAAATCCCCTCACCAGGATTGCTTCTCCTCAGAGAGCTTCTCCTCAGAGAAAAAACAATATTATCTCATTTGCTTCTCCCTGTTTTGGTGCTTTGGAATGTGGCTGGAGATCGTTTATGCAACAGGTGTATGTTTGATTGGTTTCATGTGAATTGTTTTAATTAATGACCAATCACCATCATCTGTGTCGAGAGAATTATTCTCCATATTTCGGATGGAGAATTACATTTTCAGCCTGTTTGGAGTCCTCTGTCATCAACTGACTCTGAGGAGTCAGTCACGAGTTTTTCATTCTCATTCTTGTTAAGCCTTCTGTCTATATCCTTTTCTTAGTATAGTTTTAGTATAGCATAATATAGCATAATATAATATAGCATAATATAATATAATATAATATAATATAATATAATATAATATAATATAATATAATATAATATAATATAATTAATATGCCTTCTGAGAACATGGGGTCAGATTCTCATCTCTCACCTTGTCCTGGGGACCCTCACAAACTCAAGACATTCCAGCTCTCCCTGCTGCTTTTTTCTTGTGCTGGCAGAGATTCCTAACCACCTTGCTGCTCCAAAGTGGTCACACTTAATAAGGAAATGTCTGCTTATGGTGGGGTGGGTGCTACTTCTTCATCAGGCCTGAAGAAGCTGCCCACAAAAGTTGTGGCTGCCCCATCCCTGGAAGTGTTCAAGGCTAGGCTGGATGAAGCTCTGAGCAACCTGTTTCAAATTAGCTGTTTTCAATGAGAAAAGACTCTTTGCAGGTAGTTGCCCTCTTTTGGTCACCCAGTTGAGGCATGTCAGAGGGATGGATTTTGTTTAGGGCTTTTGCTTCTCTTAAAATCAGGAAGTGCATTTTGGGAAATCTGCCTGGTTTAGAATAGATAGAGAATTAACACATTTTCAGCCTGTTTGGAGTCCTATCATCAACAGTTCTGGCAGGACATCAGAGTAGCTCAGAGCCTTTAGATCTGTCATTACAGGAATAATTATTAGAAGTAGTAAAGTGTGTTGATTTTGGAGAGTCTCCATGGTGTGCTGCACGACCTATTTTGCTGACTAACCCTACTCTAGCCTACTCTGTCATGTTAGTTCTCCCTCCTCTCAGCATTTTCTGTGTTTGTTCCCCAGGGTTCGTGGATGTAGAAACTCCAACTCTGTTTAAAAGAACCCCAGGGGTATGTATGTGATGCTTTTTGGCCTCCTACAGCTACACAGTCAGGGCTGAATCATTTCCAGTTGCCACTCAGCATTCGTTGCCTTTCCCTTGCTAAATAACAGCTTGTGAAACTTCTGATATCCTCCACAAATTCTTTTAAAAGTAGAGGGAGAGAAAGGGGAGAGATGATAATTCATGTCTTAATTTTGAACCTTCGAACAAGATAAACGTCTGCCTTGTAGAGCACATGTTGAATGCAAGTCTACCCTGGGATTATAAACCCAAAAAATTTGAAAGCACTGTCTCTTCAGCATTTATCTCTTAACCAGTAGGTTATTGTAGAGATCATACTCAAGTAAATTAAATTTCTGATCTTATATTCATTTCTTTCATTTCAAAAATAGTCAGAGAGAAGAGAGCTGTAGCTGAGGAATTGTTGATGCAGCTACCCTGGAGTTCTTGCATTTAAACCCCAGTCTTGGATGGTCTATTATGCATTAGGCTCTCAGAGAAGAAGGTGGAGAATTCTCCTTTCAGATATTTTGGACCAAGTTGCTTAACAGATATGAAGTGTAATGTACAAAGAGCCATTTCCTCACATGTGGGATTTCATAATGGGAAAAATAGGTCCTTTCCTTTTGCTCTGTTAGGAACTGGGGGCACTTACTTGCTGAACTCTGTAAATTTTCTTTCTGATGCCAGGGAGCCAAAGAATTCCTTGTGCCCTCGAGGGAAGCAGGCAAGTTCTACTCTCTGCCACAGAGTCCTCAGCAGTTCAAGCAGCTCCTCATGGTTGGAGGCCTGGACAGGTAAGAGTTTCTTGAACTCCTGTTCTCTGCATGTCCTGTCTAGGATTGCTTAATCTTTGAAGTTTAGAAACTTTCCTAAAAAACCTCACTGGCAAGGATTTGTGTCTTGAAGAGAGATCCTTAAGTATTTAAGACTTTACAGTCAGATGAAATGTATCCTTCTGGAAAGCTGAAATCTTTACTGCTCTGTTAAATGCAAACCTGATCTGAAGCAGAGCCTTCCTGAAGGGCAGAAAATTTAATGTGTGATGAAAGCTGCTCCAGGAGTAACCTACAAAATTAATTGAGGTGAGGCTGGACAGCTGAGCATGACTGAGACAAGGAAAAGCATGTCAGGGTGCCCAAGTGCAAAGCTTTTAATTGGGCTTACTTCTCCAAATCAAATGGATGAACAGGGAGACAGACAATTGTTCACACAGTGAACTGCAGGCCAGGTTTGTCTGAGAGCTTTGCATGGCTGTTAGGAGAGTCCTGGAGTGGAGTGAAGGGGGAATAAAGAGTTGATTGTGCTGCCCTTGGGGGACAGCTCACCTGGCAGTCTCCAGTGCCTCTGGAAGATAGGGAGATGGATACTGCTTGTTATGATTCCATTCCTTTGAAGGGATGGGAACAGAGATCATCTGCTGTGGGAACAAAGCCCTCTCTTTCTGGTTTACTTCCTTTTTCCTTCTCTTTGTGTGCTCAGTTCTATAGCCACAGTTGAGTTGAGGATACTTTAAACCATGATCTAAGTCACAGTGTCACTGCAGGTACTTCCAGGTCGCTCGCTGCTACAGGGACGAGGGGTCACGGCCTGACAGGCAGCCAGAATTCACCCAGGTAATCACCAGCCTCTGCTGCTGCTCCTCAACCAAGTGGCTCAGAGCTGTTTTCCCTTCTGGAGGCTTAGTGTGTGTCAGTCTGGTGCTGCTTTGGTGTGTGTTTCACTGGCACAGCCTTGGAAAGCGGTGTGGGATGAGTGCGTGGTTCCTGTCCTTGGCTGCTGCAGTGCCCCAGGTGCAGATGTGGGAATTGCGTTGCAGCAGTGATTTTACTATGATGATACAATCTCCTCCTGTCCTGCTAGGTCAGACATCCCATTCCTCAGCCTTGAAATCCCAGGCTGAGTTAGCCTGGTTCACTCAAGGCTGCTTCTGTGTCCTTGTCATCCTTACCTCATTCACTCTCTGAGGAGGTTGTTGGCTGAGTCATCAGCCTGGAGGGTGATCCTAAACACATTCCTGGCCTAATGCAGTCATGCTGTGATGTCATTTTGTGTATTGTTTCTTGTTCTGCTGGCTATGTACTCACAAGAAGCACCATGAAAGCACAACCTGTAGCTAATGTGGAATTCCCCCCCTTGTTCTCTCTTTTAAGATAGATATAGAGATGTCATTTATAGATCAAGCTGGGATCCAGAGGCTCGTAGAGGGCCTCCTGCAACATTCCTGGCCTGAGGAAAGAGGCTCCATTGTGACTCCTTTCCCTTCCATGACATATGAGGAGGCACTGGCTGAGTATGGGACTGATAAACCAGACACTCGCTTTGGGATGAAGGTGAGGGTTTGCCCACTGGAAGCTTGCAGCTTTTCCTTTCAGTCAGTGTTTAATAACCTTTGGATCATGGATACATGTTTGGCTGGAGTTTTGAGTGCTGTAATTTACCCTAGGTGCCTGTTCCATTGTTGCTGCTGAAAAAGAGAGGATTTAATCAGTTGACTGTGAAAAATATGTTCTGATAAAACTTTATTTTAAAGGTGATGCAGGGAGCAATGTATCTTGACTATTTAAAAGCAAAATCTTCTAAAAGGGAATAGTGTTGAAGGTGTTAAGACACAGATGCAGGAATTTTTGCTTTGTATTGCTACCAGCAGTGCTTTTTCCTGTGCTCTCTCCTTTGTCAGATCGCGGATGTCAGTGATGTTTTACGAGGATCAAACATTCATTTTGTGCAGAATGCCCTCAGTTACCCACATGGCTCTATCAGAGCCATTTGTATCCCTCAGGGAGTGGTAAGTGATGCTCTTACATCCTGTTTATGGTTTGTGTGGAATAAATAAAATGCTAATTTGAATTCCTTTGTTGGTATGGAAATGTTCCTTGCTATTTCTGGTGTTCTTAAGGGAGCTTTAGATTGGTTGTACTCCATGTTAGGTGGGGCTGAGTGGTGTTGGAATAAAAAGACAACAAGGAGAGTATTTTATCCTAAGGAAGAGGAGGAAAACAACAGAGCAGCAAGATCCCATGAGGATAGGGAACCCTCTCAGGTCTCACCTTGCTTTTTATCAGCTTTTTGATGTCCATCTCAATAATGAATTGTGCCTTGTGACAGGAGATTTGTCCTGGTTAGGGGCTGAGTATGGCACAGCTCTGGGATAGGCAGAGAAGGGCCAGGTAGTTCCATGTCCTTCTCTTGTTTGCTTTAGCTGCATTTTTGGGTGCAATTTGTGTCTTGTCATGGACCAAAATCAAGGTTTATAATAGATGTGGAAGACTTTTGGCACAGTCCTGCATTTTGGCAAGGAAACAGATTTAATTCTGGCTGTAGACATCTTTGTAGCTTGGGCAGTATGGAAAAAACAAGTCCTCTAAAAACTGAGTTTTATCTGGGGAGCAGGGCTTTGTGGCCATGGTTTCCTTTGGGATTCCTTTCAGTTTGGCACAAAGTGCAAGTTAATGGCTTCCCACGAGAGGGCACAGATGTGTTTGTTAGAGCAACACAAAAGTGTCATCTAGACCCACCCTAAACACTGGAGTAGCTGAAAAATAATCAAGATCTTGATGCAGCTCCTCATTTACTGCATGGCTTTGCATGCAAGAGTCAGCCCATTTGTTTTTTCTCTGTTCTTCCTCCAGTTTGAGCTCTGCATTCCCCATCCACAGTGTGGTGGTGTAACCTTGTTTCTGCAGGTTGGAGGCAGTGACCTGACCCTGCTGACCAGATACATTTATTTGTGAGAGGGGGAGAAAAATGTGTAGATCTGGAGGGGTCTTTTCCTGACAGAAGCCCTCAGAGCAGACACCCAGCCCAGTGCTAAGCACTCTGTCCTGTTCCACAGCCTTCATAAGAGCTTGAGCTGGAAACCAAAGAATTGAGATGTTTGCAACCAGCTTAATCAGTAGATTTGATATCTAGTCGAGTTTTCCAAGCTGATCTTTGCTGTGTCTTCTCTTGCTCTTTCCCCAGCGGTATCTTACAAATAAAGACTTGGGATCATTGAAGGAGTCAGCAAAATCCCAGTTTAACCAGGTGAGACAGAAACTCTCCTGAGGCTTTGAGAAGGGTGAGTGACAAAGCATGATAAAGGCAGAGGGAGGTAGGAGAGCAGTTTTTAATAGCTGAGAGAGCCTGAGCATGTAATGCTTCAAGTCAAGAGAGGGCAGCACTGCACTGAACATACCCTTAACCTTTCTCTAGGAAATCATGGAAATTATCTGCAGACCTGATGGAAGCTTGAAATCTCTGCTTACCAAGTTCCTCAGTGAGAAGGAGCAGTCAGAGCTCATCCAAGCACTGAACATGCAGGAGGGTGATGTGGTGCTGCTGGCAGCTGGAGAGCACAAGCAAGTGGTAGGAGGCTTTTCTTGGGTGGCTCTGTGAGTTGAATGTTGCTGATGATGGTTTTGATGTTATCTGACCTCAGTCTGATTCTTCTTGTTATTAAAATAGGTCATCATTTAATTTTCTCTTTCTCTGGAACGGCAGCTATAGCAACAGCAGATAAAGCATGAAATGTGCCTATTACTTTCATGGCCCCCAGTCAAATTCTAGGCAGGACTTGGAACTTAAATGAAGCCTGAAATGTAAAAAACCCTGCAACAAATCAGTGCCTTCTTTTTTTTTAACTTCATTTTTGAAGCCTCAAACAGATTGGAAAATGAGGTCAACTAGGTAATTGTGTCTCCCACAAGTGCATGACTTATTAGCAGCAATGGTGAGAGATTCTGTTTCCACCCTTCTCTCTATTCTTGCCAGCAGATTTTACTGGCAAGAGCAGAGAGAAATAAAACAATAAAACTAAGCATTGTTTTATTATAAAGTGTCACGCTTTGCTCAATAGCCAACATTTTGTTGTATTCACTTCTGTGCCTTCATTTCTCTGTCTGCAAAGTGTGGATCTTACATGTGGTCCCCCAGTTAACCCAGGTTAGTCTGAGAAAGTTCTGAAGATGAAATAGCTGGAAAAACATGGATTTCCAAGCTCCTTACTCGGTGTCTATCAAACCCTGGTGCTGCTGCTGCCTTGGCAGGAGGGTGATACATGTCAGAATATGAGGCTAAAGTGTTCAAGGCAGCAATGCATTCCAGCTGATGCTGTCTGTGGTACTTCCTTCATGGAACACTCTGCCTGGTGGGTGTTTGAGTGAGTTCCTGATGGTGAAGCCACCCTGGCTGATCTCTCCCTTCTCTCTGTTGCAGTGCTCTGCCTTAGGAGCCTTGCGCTTGTTGAGCGCCAACCTCCTGGAGGCAGCTGGGCTGGCACTCCGTGATCCCACAGCCTTTCACTTCCTCTGGGTGGTGGATTTCCCCCTCTTCCTCCCCAAGGCTGAGAATCCCGCTGAGCTGGAATCTGCTCATCACCCCTTCACTGCCCCTCATCCTTCAGATGTCAGCCTCCTGTATTCTGATCCCACAAAGGTAACCAGCTTCAGGCATGCTGTGCTGGCTCTTTTACAGCTGGTCCCATGGAAAACCAGGCTAGCAGCAGCTGGGTTTAGTGTAAAAAGAGATATTGTTTCATGGGACTGACTGCACAAGGAAGATGTAGATCTGTTGGAATGAGTCCAGAGGTGACTGCTAAGATGATCAAGGGGTTGGAGCACTTCTGCTGTGAGTTAAGGCTGAAGGAGCTGAGGTTGTTCATCCTGGAGAAGAGGAGGCTCAGGAGCAACATTAGAGTCCTTTCCAGTGCCTAAAAAGGCTGCAAGAAAGCTGAAGAGGGATATTTTGCAGGGGCAAGCAGTGATAGGACAAGGGGAAATGGTTTTAAACGGAAAGAGGGTAGACTTAGATTGGTATCAGGATAAAAACCTTCCCTGTGAGGCACTGGCACAGATTGCCAAGAGCAGCTGTGCCTAACCCATCCCTGGCAGTGTTCAAGGCCAGGCTGGCAGGGCTTGGTGCAACTTTGGGTAGTGGAAGGGGTCCCTGCCCGTGGCAGAGGGTTGGAACTAGAGGATCTTTAAGGTCCCTCCCAACCCAAACCCTAGTGTGATTCTATGATCTTGCATGTGTCTGGAAGAGATGGCTTCCTGATTACTGCAAATAGCAAATATTCACATGTGCCCCAGCAAAAGGAGCTGACAGAAAACCAAAATCTTATATTCTGACCTATCTCTCTTGCTTCAGGTTTGATAAACCTTTCAAAAGGATTTATTCTCTTCCCACAACAGTCAGAGGCACCCCATACCTCCAGCAGGACTGATACCTAAATTGCAATATACCCCTGAGAGAGCAGTTTTACAGCTTCCAGGGCTTCATTCCCAGTGTCTTTGAATCTCTGTGCAGGTTGTTTCTAGGTGCAGCTGTGGGCCAGCCTCACAGGGGTGCCTGTCCCTGTCTCTCTGCAGGTCCGTAGCCAGCACTACGACCTTGTGCTGAATGGCAGTGAAGTTGGAGGTGGCTCCATCAGAATTCACAGTGCAGAACAACAGCGTTTTGTGCTGGAGAAAGTGCTGAAGGTAACACCTACAGATGCCTCTAATGATCTCTTGGAGATTTAAAAGCACAGATTAATTGAAATATTAATTACATAGTTTGAAAGAAACACTCATCTTCTCAGATAAAGGCATAACTCCTAGCCCTGAGCAATGGATGATTTCATTGTACCTTCATCTTGTGTTGCTAACAGGAGGAGCATTGCTTGTCCAGTGACACCTCTTAATGTGATTTTGCAGGAGGACTCTGAGGTGCTTTCCCATCTGATTGAGGCTTTGGAATTTGGAGCTCCACCTCATGGAGGAATTGCTTTAGGTAAGTGATCTGTAGTTCTACAGATGCAGGTCTTCAGTGGGATTATTTTTTTTTTGTTTGTTTGTTTGGTTGGTTGGTTTTTTTAATACTAGATCCAGGGAACAAGCTCATGGTTGTTAGGAAAAGCCTTGCTGCTTCCATCTCTGCAGCAGCTTTGTGGAAAGAAACAGAGGTCTGGTCACCAAGAGCAGAAAGTTGGGGTGTTCCTCTCCAGAGTTACAGTGGGGTTTAGGTCTCTAAGGATGGTCCTTACCTGCTGATCTGCAAACCCTGTATTCAGTGAGGTTGAGTCAGCTTTGTTCCCATTCCTGTGCAGCCAGAGCAGGATCCCTGTGCTGCCTGTCTGGAGACATGGGACAGAAATGGCACTTTGTGTTTCACACCCTTCCCCTCTGCTGCCATCTCACTTCCCTTCTCTCTTCACCTGTTTTGCTCATTAGTTCAGAAAATGTAAGGGTTTGGTTTTTTCCCTAGAACAATGCAAGTTCATGGTTTAAAGAAAGAGGGGAAAAAACCCAACCAACCAACAACATCCTCCCTACACTCATCAAAATAAAAAAGCCTACAAAGAAAGAAGTTATTTTTTTAACCTGTGATCTTTCAGTTTGACTTCCTCCATCCAGTCACCCAGAGCCTTTTGTTCCTCTTGAATTCTCAGTAGTTGTAATCCTTCCAAACTGCTTGATGCAGAGCCCTGAGCTGTAAAGCAGAGCCCTGCCAGTGTTCTGCCATTCAGCTGCCCAAGTTTTGTTATGCTGGGTTTGCTGTCTGTGTCCTGCAGCCCTTGGTGTGTTACAGAGCTTCCTGCAATATTGAAAAGCTTTATTTTGGTAGACATTTCTGCTCTCGAGGCAAATCTCTTTCTCTGCTACCAGCTGAGATTAATTTTTTTCCTCCCTTACTTGCTTCTTGCTTCACTCTTTTTCTTCAAGCTCAGTGATATTACCTCCTCAATCTTTCTGATTTTTCTGACTCAGGGGAGGTAATACAGAGCCATAACTCAAGTGTTTGACCAATTTGTTTTCTGCTTGTAGGACTGGACAGGCTGATCTCTCTCATTGTTGACGCTCCAAGTATCCGGGACGTCATTGCCTTTCCAAAATCCTTCAGGGGACGAGACCTGATGGGCAATGCTCCAGACTATGTCACTCCAGAAGAGCTGGAGCCATATCACATTCAGGTTTCCTGGCCTCTTGAAGAAAAAGAAGCAAAGAAAAACTGACTTCACACCAGTGGTGTAAGCTGATCTGATCAGCCAGAGGTGGTTACAGCTTCTAAAGGCCAGGATTGAGTTCAGGAAATATCAGCTGCTGTGGCAGGGTGAGGACAGTCCAGCTCCACTGTGCTGTGGCAGTTTCCAGATGGACTGCAAGTAGATAAGAGATCTTCCTGATAGGAATTCATCTTTGGGAGGTAATGGGAAGGACATGCCAAAAAGCAATAGCAAAGAATATAATTTGAGCATAGGATATTGAGACTGTTTGCTTTAGGGTGTCATATTGGAGGGAAGATGGGTTCTGGTTTTTCCCAATTTTTATATGTCCCTTGTAAAGTATTCCCCCTACAATCTGGAGGAGATAGTCAGCTTCCCTGGCAGGAATTAAATCATGATCCTCATTAAATCACATCAGCTGAGCACTGTGACAATAAAACTGCTGGACCAGGAGCTCTGAACACAGCCAAACTTCAGCTCAGCCAGCAACTTGTCTCCTGATGGAGGATACAGATCATGCAGAACTTTGCCACGGGAAATTCACACTCAGCTGTGTTTTCCCTTTAAAGGAGAGGGAGAGAAGTGTGGATGATGTTTGCAACAGTTGTCCTTGTAATACTCATCCAAGAGGTTTAGATCTGTCTTTGGGGCCTGTGGTCCTGGTGCTTTCAGCACAGTCATTCAGGAGTTTGTATGTTTATAAATAAAGTTTACCTGGCAGTGTGGTTTTGCCTGAGTGTAGCTTTGGGTTTTCTCTACAACAGCAAGCTGTCAGTTTGGCTTTGTGACCCCTGGCCCTTCCAGGAGATGACAAGAAATCTGTGGGAGCACAGCCTGAGCTCCTGTGAGCTCTGCAAATCTGCTGCTGCAGTGGTGGTGAGGCAGCAGCAATTTCCTCCCAGGGAACTGATCATCCCTGTCCCACACCAGAACATCCACAGTGACTGTTCTGAGGAGAGGTGGAGGTGAAGAATCTGAGGAAGAGTTTCCTTGATGAAGATGGTGCAAAGGAAGAAGAGGGAGAGCTCCTGTGTCCCAGCTGGGAAGGACAGCAGGAGGCACAAGCCATAGGAGGTGCTGGAGGACAGAAGGAAGATTCTGAGCTGATACTGAGCTCCAGCCTGTCCTGCAGATTGTCACATCCTGGTCTGCTCCAAGGCTTGGCCACTCTCTCAGTCTCCACATCATGGGGTAACACTACATGGTGGTGTTCACAGTTATTATTTAAATACTGAGCTGTCCTGCTGATGAGAATCAGTAATGCAGGCAGCTCCTCTCCTTAAGGAGAGGATTTTGGGGTTTTTTTTAATACCATCCATAGAAAGTGGCACTAGAGCTGACTTGCTGCTGCTTTGCAGATTATAAAATGATGGAGTTACATGTGTAAAAGCAAAATACTTACTTTATTTCTGGCATGATTGTTATTTCAGTCTCAGAGCTGGTTAAATATTACTTTAAACAAAACAGAACAATCCTGGATTTGTATTCACATTTGTTTTAGCCAAACACTGAATTCCTTTATTTTTTCTTCATATGGGGTATTCATTTCTATTTGAAATCAATTCATCTGTAGTTAACCATTTTTTTTCTTTCTTTGAGTAGAAGCTGTCAGTAATGGAGTGAGGATCAGTTTTCAGAGGGAAGCTGACCTGAAAAACAGATCCCTAAGCAGATTCAATTGAAACTTTATGATCCTTGTGGGTCCTGTCCAGCTGAGGGACATCCTGTGACTTCAAAAACAATTATTTAATTTTTGTTGTTGCTTTTGCAGGGAGGAGAGTCACCCTGGGGCAGTTAGAGCAGATATTTTTGTTCTCCTGCCTTGTCAGTGGTGATGCAAAGTGCAGCCACTGCAGGCTATGTGTTGTATTCAGACTGCTGCTTTATGGGATGCTGGATTTTCTGATTTGGTTTCTTCACTGGTACTGTGATTAAGATTTGCATGGAATTTGGTGAAGATCATCTGTGTTCCCAAAGCAGGGATGTCATAGGCTTGTTTGAGGTCATGGAAATAAGTTACTCTCAAAAGTTCTTCACTCCCCCCAGGCTATTTATTTATAGTAACTGTAAACAAAATGTGCTGAACTTTGCTTTTTAATTGTGAAATCAGGAGTAGCATATTGCTTGCTTAGCACCTGCTTGCAAAGGCAAATGCTGTTTACCTCTGCTGAGTCCCAAATTAGGATTATCAAGTGTTCAAGGGGAAGCTGGTGCTCTGGGAGGCTCAGGCAGAAATGTAACCCTGCCTGGAACATTCTTTTTGAGAGCACTTGTTAAAACATGTGAGTGAGCTGTCTCCCAGCCATACACATCCCTATTGTGCAAGCAGCTTTGGCTGCTGGTTGTTTACCCACTGCTAGATGAGGGAATCACTGCAGGTAGAAATCAAAAATGCAGCCAAACACCTTGTCTGAGCTGCTGCTGTCCTGCCACAATTAGGTTAAATGTTAAAAGGTGTGTCCCAAATCCAGGAAAACCATTTGTGATTGGATTGGGGAATGAAGGTGGCTCCCAAGGCTCTCCAAGTGTGAGTTTGCCAGGCTGTGTGCAGAGAAGATGCTAATTTTTTGTTGTTGTTGTTGTTTTAAGATACTACTTTTTGTTTTGTTTTGTTTTATGGAGCATTGTATAAGATTGTACTTGGGCTTGTGCAAGCCAAATCTACAGAAAATCCCTGAAACCACAATCTGCTTGGCACACTGCATATTTTGGTAGGAGCAAGAGCAGACAGGCAGTACAAAGAAATCCATGGAAATCAAGGCTGGTCCTATTGCAGACCAGAATCTCCTGCTTGCTGGAGAGAAGATGCCAGCCTGTGATCCTGAAAAGAGATGTTGAAACCATCACAGACCCCTTGTTGCTTCTGCTCTTTGTTATTTTCCCTGTATCAGACAAACCTGTGGAGAAATGCTGCTCTGTCAGCTGTGCTAGAAGATGCCAAACCCTGGGCTCCTCTGTTAAGAATTATTCTTTAGGTAAGAATGTGAGGTTGAGTGTTCCCTGACACGATCCTCTCCTCTCCAGAGAACTTCACAAGTGGCACAGATGGGATGTGAAGATCAGGGTGGGCAATAGGTTTGTACAAGGAGTGCTCCAGCAGGAGCCAGGGTTGCCTGTGGAGCCTCTGCACTCTTTGACTCCACCTCTTACCGATTTTCTTCTGTTGGATCTGAACAAAACACTGGCAAAATGATTATTCCCCACCTCTAGGAGAACCTACTCTGTGTATGTTTCAATGGATTCGACCAGAACAACCCTCTAGTAGATTTATACTACCCTTTTGTGGAAGCAGAGATCAATTTCTGCTGATATTTCCCTCCCTCTCCAGAACAGGGGGGGATTCTCAGCAGCCACAGTGCGAGTTGTTATTTTAAATTTTTTTGTTTCTTAAAAGTTTCCAAGCCTGGGGAGAAATTGCAGCCCTTGATTTCAGCCATCCCAGGTGGTTTGGGTCAAGTTATTTGTATAAAGTGCCACAAAGACAGAAAGTGTTCCCAGAATTTAATATGGAGTTTAATCCTGTATTGTCCTGGTATCTCTCTTGAGTTTAGCTGAATTACAATATAATTTACCAAATTGCAATGTATCACAGCAGCTTTGTGTAATCCTGTGCTGCAGATACCCAGAGGTTCAGAGTGCTGATGAATTCCCAATTCTGCTGAAAACAGAAAGTATTAGTATTTGTAAAAAGTCAGAAATATTCGAAGAATGGTTTCAGCTGTTTGCAGCTGGATTTGTACCTGCTTTTTTATCCTGGGTGTGAGCAGGAGGTGTGGCTTTGTACATTCCCAATCCCAGGAATGCCTCTGCTGCTCTGGATTCCACCTCTCCCACTGTGAGGAAAGGAGCAATGATGCTGCACTGAATGCAGGCAGCCCAAAGAAATGAGTCTCTATTGCTACAAGCAGAAGGATCGAGAGAATTTATGCTCTCAGATGTATGGATTTTTATTTCCCCCCCAGTTATTTCTTACCTTTGCTTGTCCTGGGGTGTGTTTGGAGCATTCTTGGTGCATTTTGAGCCCCTGTGCTCACAGAACAGGCAGAGACAACCACGGCCACCTAAACAGTGCCAGATGCAAATCCCCCATGTCAGCTTCACATGACTTCACATCTCAATATTTGGGCTCTGATTCCAGGCTTGTGCTCCAGTTTGTTGTGTTCCTTTGGAAGCTTTGTTTTCAGTAATTAAAAAATGATGATTCCATGCAGTCACCAGCTGTGCCAGGCACAGTTCTCAGCGAGCAGAGCTCCGTGACAGATCTGTTCAGATGGCTTGGTCACATTTTTCTCTAATAACCCATCAGGAGCCAGCTTGCTTGTTATGTTTTGATAGCCTTGGTGTTCACTGCAGAGCTGAAGAAAAGCATTGTGGATGGTTCCACCATAAATTTGGTTATATTTTAACAATATTTGTATTTTATAGAGTCATAGAATCCAAGAATTTATTTGGGTTGGGTCCTGAAGACCCTCTAGTTCCACCCTGGGACATTTTCCACTATCCCAGGTTGCTCTAAGCCCCATCCAGCCTGGCCTTGGACACTTCCAGGGATCCAGGGGCAGCCACAGCTTCTCTGGGCACCCTGTGCCAGGGCCTGCCCACCCTCACAGTGCAGAATTTCTTCCCAATATCCCATCTAAACCTGCTCTCTGTCACTTTAAACTTCTATCCCCTTGTCCTGTCACTACATGCCCTTGCAAAAAGTACCTCCCCCTCTTTCTTGCAGACTCCCTTCTGCATTTTAATAGCCTTGAGTTCTGTTAAATTATGTGTTATTCTAAAAACTACTTCCTCATGCTTAATTTAAACCTCTCACCTGATCATTGCACAAGTCACTTTCTCATGTAGCTTATAGAAGTAATGATATTCAAATTTCTTATGTGTTTTCTGTTCTGCTTATAACTTCATGAATTAATATCCTCTCTTTTTTTTATTATTCACATTTATTTTAAGCTGTACAGTTTTAGGTAATTTCACCTACTTTCCTGAGGAAATCCCTGCATGACTTCAGTGCAGTGACTTTTCATATACCCATGGACAGCTGGATGGCCAAAGCTGAATGCTCTTGTTGGTTGTTTTTGTAGGTTTTTTCCCCAACATCCTACTGTTAGTATTTACCAACCTTCAGT